TTTTGCTATCTGTAAGTATGTTGTTTAATTTCCACATATTTGGAGTTTTTCAGTTATATTTTGTTATTTGTTCCACTCTGGTCTGAAAGCAGACATTGGGTGCTTTCCAGTCTTTTAAATCTGTTCAGGTGTGTTTTTTGGCTGAGAAGGTGGCCTGTGTTGGTGGTTGTCCATGTGCACTTGGGAAGAATGTGTAATCTTGCAGGAAGCAGTGATCTATTGATGCAATCATATGCACTGGAACTCAATTGTTGTTGAGTTGAGCTGTGTCATAACTGATCATATACCTGGCGGGTCTGTTTATTTTGAGAGAGGATTGTTGAAGTTTCCAATTGTGCTTGTGCTCTCATCTTTTTCTTGCACTTCAAATAATGTTTTTCTCACATAGTTTCAGAATCTGTTGTCAGATGCATACATGTTCAGGATTGTCATATGTTGAAGAACTGATCACTGTGTTATTACTGAATGCCCCTTTTCCTGGTAACCTTCCAGGCACGTGGTCTACAACACAGTTAGGTCCCTGGTTCCAGATTTCATTTGATTACTGTTATCATGATATATTTTCTCCATCTACTTTGTTAATTAACATTTCATTAGTGTGTATTAATTGTACCTAGTGTTTCATTGTGACATTTCCATACATGTAAGTGCATAGAATGTGCTTTGATCATATTCACTTCCTCTCTGTCAATTTACTTATAAATCATACATGTTTGTATTCATTTAGTTATTTACTTATTTATATGGTGGTGCAGTTGGAGTTTGTTTTGCCACCTGTCCTTGCATGCTATCTGTAGTTTATCCACTAGCTTCCTTAGTGCCTTAATCTAAGTTTTGAAGACAGTTTGTTCTGTGATAATTCCATGTGTGGTTCTGATGCATCCTCTGCCAGGTCATATTGTGGTTTTTGCTTTTTAATATGCCTTGAAATAGTTTCATTATAGCCTAAAATGTTATGCCAAATGAAAGGAACTGTTAGAAACAATACACTTATTAGTATGGTAAGGTATAGGGGAGGGAAGCTGTTTTACTCTATTAAGGCTACTATTATAGATGATACAGACTGGTTGCAGTGTGCTGTCTCCTCCACTCCCGGAAGAGTTGTTGTGTTTTCAATTTCTTCAGCTCTGTATTTGATTTTGGGGTGGAGTGACAGTTTCCTGTGTTTATCAGCTTTGTATCATTATGTCAAAATAACAGATACAATCAACTTAAAGGGGGAAATATATATATTGTCTGTTGACTTTGGAGTTTTCTGGGTGTCATCACTTGGCCTCATTGGTTTTGGACCTGTACAAGTGCCAAAAGTACATCATGGCAGGAGCTAATCGCAAAGGAAGCTGCTGCTTACCCCATAGCCGGGAAGTGAAAGAGAAACAAGAATTGTCTAGGTCTCATTATCTGCTCCAGGGCTAGGTGGAGCAGTGCCATGGATGGGAAGAGAACCCCCAAACCATAGCCCACCAGGTCAGTGAGTGCCTACTGGGTGGAGAGGTCATCAGAGGGGAGCCCAGCAGATGTTGGCTGTGTTGTCCTGACTTCACCAGGTTATCTTTCAGATTGCACACCTGAGGACAGTGGTCTTGCACACATCAAAGCATTGCATTACAGTCTCCAAGGAGGGCTCTCACACATATACTGTTACCTTTATCCCAAATCTAAACCCTATTCTTCTTAGATATTTTTCTTTGCTATTTACTTTCTCAGTTGGCCCATCCTTCATTCTCATGGATTTTTTCAAATAATTCCTTTTAAATTAATAAATTAATTTTTGTGGGACTGGGGTTGATTTCAGGGTTTTGAGCTTCCAAAGCAGGCAGGCCCTTGCAGAGCAGGTGTTCTATCACTTGAGCCATACCTATGGTTCATTTTGGTTTGGTTATTTTGGTGGTGGGGTACTGTGAACTATTTGTGTGGGACTGGTTTCAAACTATGATCTTCCTGATCTCAGCCTCACACATATCTAAAATTGCAAGAGTTGCCTGGTTTAACATTTTTTTTGAGACATGCTCCTGATATGTACCCAGGCTGGCCTTGTGGTCTCCATTTTCCAGCTCTTGCATCCTTAGTGATGGAATTGCAGGTTCCTGCCACTATGCCTGTCGTCTCAAGGACTTGTATTGTCTGAGATTTATTCATAAATTATTTGTACCTTAGCACATCCTATTGGAGCGAGTTTTAAAGTACTGGCAACTTTATACTTGTATTTATGACAGAAATTATGAAAATAATGCCTCTTTCATTGAACTTAGTCTGCTTAGAGAAAAATAAGAAAATAATGTATTTTAAGTAGTCAAATAAGAACCATGAGGAATATTTAATCAAAGTGAGAAAAAGAAACATGAGATGTGATCATTCAGTAAGGATGATCAGTGCCAGACGCCAGTGGCTTACGCCTGTAATCCTAGCTACTCAGGAGGCAGAGATCAGGAGGCTTATGGTTGGAAGCCAGCTCAGGCAAGTATTTTGGGAGACCCTATCTCAAAAATACCTAACCCCAAAAGGGCTGGTAGAGTGGCTCAAGGGATAGGCTCTGAGTCCAAATCTCAGTACACAACAACAACAAAACCAGAAAGGATGAGCAGAGAAGACAATCTTAGGTGGATTTTGTTTAAGTCTGCTGTGCTGGGGAATACACCTGGGGTCTGTAGTGTGCCACTGGGCTGCATTTATAGCTTTTTTTTTTTTTACCTCGGCATAGCTTGAGTTTCAGTTCTTATTTTCATAATTTTATACATGATAGGTGAATAAGAAGATCTATATTTGAGAGTCTACATTACTCTTGGAATCACAAATTTAGAAATTGGTAGGTTGAAGTTGGTATTTAAACGTACAGAGCAGGTCACCTAGGGAGTTGATAAGAAAATGAGAAAAGTCCAGAGTCAGCCTTGTGAATCATGGTGTCAAACACCAGGACAATGGAGGATCCAGCACATGGGTCTGCATTTGGGCAAGAGCCAGGACATTCTTGCTCCCAAGCCCCAATGAACCAAGGATTTCATGTTGAAGAGCTTAGTCCTCTGTTTGGAAGTAGAGTTTGAAGTTAGTATTTCTGTCTTCTCTTAGTGGATAGCATTATAAACAAGGAAGAGGAGGAGAAATGTTGAGAAGACTCCATTTTCTATGAAAGTAGGAGAAAACTGACAATCTACTGCACAAGATAACAATATTCAGGAGAAGTTGATTATTAAGCTTGGGTGTCTGTACCTGTAATGGGGGGAAGAATGCTTGGGCTGTTAATCTCAGAAGGAGCTAGAAAAGCACTTTATAATGATGGTGGGCTTCCAGGGTGGTGGGATGAAGAAAAACTTATGTTTCTGAGCGCCCCACAAATAAACTGAGATTAAGACACTAGTTCACTGGTTTTTTTTTTGTGCTTGCTAGGCAGGCATGCTACCACTTGAGTGATGCCTCCAAGACACTAGTTCTCAACCCCACTGCAAATGGGAACCAGCTAAGGGGGATTAAAAAAACATGGGGGCCTGACATAGATTTTACAGGTTGATAAACAAACTCCAGATCCTTATTTCCCACATGGATGCCTCTAGGTAGGATATGTAGACGTAGTGAGGGTGATCATAAAGGTTTATGAAAGGTCAGGGAAAAAGTTACAAGAGGCCATGGTGAGCCAGGTATGAAGCAGTTTCACAGAGAGCGCTCTGTGTTTCCAGGTGATTTTAAAACCTGTTAACCTATGGGAGAGGAAAAACCTGGGTGATTCTTGATCACCAAAAATCAATGTGTAGGGAAAGCTTTGGGTGACTTCTGGGCTAGGGTGGTGGTTTAACCTAAGGTGTGAACAATCTGCACATATTTGCAATGGAAAGGAAGGCTCAGAGAGAGGGAGAAAAGTGTTCAACCTGAAATGTAATATTAAGGCAGAAGAATCCTGGTCTCTCCCTATCTTAGCCTGCCTCTGTACCATTAGGTGAACAATGCAGGTCCCAGACAAATACTGGCACCTTCACCATAGTCAATCTAACACAGTCAACAGCAGCTATCATTTACTAAATACTGTATTGATCCTAACAGCTCTATGGAGTAATGAATACCATTAAAGCCCATTTTATTCATCCTAGAACTGAGGCTCATCTGTACAAAGACTGTAAGACAAGACTCTTTGTCTCCAGAGGCCACATGTTGTCTCTGCAGTCTCTTATTCTAGAGTCCTAAAATAAGATACCCAGTGTTGCTAGTGTTCCATTTGACAATCATAATTACTGAATACCAATGACATTGGCACTGCTCTGGCTGCAGTGACAGACAGGCACTGCGATATCCTCATGAATTTCTTTGCTACTTAAAATTTTCCTTTCCAGTGGCCAGGCTCTGCCCCAGCACCTGGCCTTTCTCCCCCGTATTTTAAAAGATTGTTTGGAGACAGGAATTTACTCAGCTGGGCGGGGTGGCGTGTTTTCCCTCTGTCTTCTAGATGCCATTGCTTCTCCTGGCAGGAGCTCTTTGAGGTCAAAACCTCACATTGTGCATCATGAAATCCTATGCCAGTAATCCCAGGGACCCCCTGGACCGTAGGTGGATAAACTGGGGCACAGGAGCGTCCATGAACATGGGGTCTCTAGAAATTTTGCCAGAGCTGGCCTCCAACCTAAATCCTTAGCTCGGTTTCTGGAATAGCTAGGATTACAGACTTGAGCCAACGCTCCAGCGTAATACATTTAAGCTAAAAGTTTTAAACTATTTATCCCACAATGTGTTGGATTGTGAGAGCAGAATTTAATAAAGAAGCAGGAGTCCACATATCTATCGCGTGCTATGGACCAATCCTAAAGCAGCTCATGCTCCTCTATTTGCAGTAAGACCTCCAGGGAGATGAAGTGTCCCTTGCCCTGTGGGACCTTCGCAAAGGCTTGTGGGAAATGTAGTCTCACCCTGTCCAGTCACCAGCACCAACAGGAGTGCAGCTCTTCCGGGTTTGTTCTGCGCCGGCGCTGCTCTGCTCCCTCCAGTTTCCTCCCGGAAGTTTATTCCCGGAAGTTTCAGACCTGCTGCTCGGAGGAAGTTGTGGTGGGGACTTTGAATTCTTCCAGTGAATCTCCGAGGGGCTGTACTGTGATGAGAGAGAAACCCGCCACGAGGACCCTGGGTTGCAGGACCTGCGACCCTGAGGAGTTGTTGGTAGATCCGGGTTGTCGTCCCCCGGTCCGTGACACAAGTGGCGGGCGGAGCCGAGCCGGGCTGGGAGGGAAAGTCGCGGCGGCCGTGTGTGTGACTGCTCGGACGCGCGTTTGCAGTGTGACTGCGGCCAGGAAGGCGCACCTTGGAGCAAAGCCTTTGCTCAGTTGGTCCTGTCACATCTAGTGGCGTCCTCCTGGCCAGGCCGCGACAGTGGCACATTGCGGATCGTTGCCTTGCGGGTGCGTGGAGGCGCCTCCTTGGAACTGTCCCCGGCACAGTGTCCCCAATTCCAGGTGCATTTGTAATGCACGGGCATCAGCAAAAATGCTGAGTTGCAGCATGCATGTCTCTATGAAAAGAGGAGGAATTACAGTGGGGCTGTGCTTCTGGAGTCCCGTGGGAAGTAATTAGTTCTCCTATAACCCAAGTGATTTTATGTTTTCTTTTTTTGGCAGTACTGGGGTTTGGACGCAGGTCCTCGAAAGCACTGCACACTGAGCTACACCCCCCATCCCCTTTTGCTTGTAATTAATTTTTCAGATGGGGTCTTTTTACCATAACCTTTTGTTTGTTTATTTAATGGTGGTGGGATTTGCACTCAGGGCCTTCAATCAAGCTTTACCACTTGAGCCACACCCCAGTGCTCAAAGAGTGCTTGCTTTTGCCTCGGGAAATCCTCAGACCCTGAGCTTTCTCCTACCTCAACTTCCCATGTAGCTGGAATTGAAGACATGTTCCCACACATCCAGCCCCCACGTGCATTTGTTTTTGAATAGTACACGTTTAAAATTTTTTCATTGATGTGCTTGGGCCCCAGGTGCATTTTTTAGTGAAGACATAATGTTTGTTTAAAATATTCTCTCTCTCTCTCTCTTTGGCGGTAGTGGGGTTTGAATTCAGAGCCCTTTGTTTGCTAGGCAGTCACTCTTCCCACTTTAGGCACCCTGCCAGCCCATGCTGTAGTTATTTTGGAGATGGGGCCTCAAGAACATTTCCCTGGCTGGCCTCGAACTGTGATTATTATTTATTGCTGAGTCAGTTGATTATGCATTAATCAGTCCTATTGTAATTGTAATCTTTTTTTTGACTGGGAGTGGGGTTTGAACTCAGGGACTCAAGGTTGCTACTTGAGCCACTCTCTTAGCCCTTTTTTTTGATGTGATTTTTTGAGATAAGGTCTCTGGAACTATTTGCCTAAGGCTGACTGCCAACCACAGTACTCCTGTTACCAGAAACATCCTGAAAATAACCTGGTTCTTATTTATTTATTTATAAATTTTTTTTCTTTATTCACTTACTCATATGTGCATACATTGTTTGGGCCATTTCTCCCCTCTGTACCCCACCCTCTCTCTCTTCCCCCCACCCCCTTGCTTCCAGGCAGAATGTGTTCTGCCCTTTTCTCCAATTTTGTTGAGTAAACATAAACAATAATAAGAAAGACATAGCATTATTGCTAGCTTGAGATAAGGATAGCTTTACAGATAGATTCCTAGCATTGCTTCTGTGCACAAGTGTATTACAAAACGAATTGATTCATCTCCACCTGACCTCTTCACTACTTCCCAGTCACTTTCCCATATTGACCTTTGTTATTTTAAGGTTACTGTATTAGTTCCGCTGCTGTGGGGGCATCAAACACTTTCAAATTTTGGGTTTCCTACCTTTCCCTATTCCTCCTGTATGTGTTCTCCCCTTAGTGTGTGACCCAAGTCTAATATTACTGCATTTGTTTTAGATCTGAAATCTGCATATGAGAGAGAACATACAATTTTTGTATTTCTGAGCTGGGCTAACTTCACTTAAGATGATGTTCTCCAGTTCCACCCATTTACCTGCTAATGACAAGATTTCATTATTCTTCATGGCTGAGTAAAATTCCATTGTGTATAAATACTACATTTTCTTAATCCATTTGTCAGTAGTGGGGCATCTTGGCTGTATCCATAACTTGGCTATTGTGAATAGTGCTGCAATAAACATGGGTGTGCCGGTGTCTGTGGAGTAACCTGAATTGCATTCCTTTGGGTATATCCCTAGGAGTGGGATTTCTGGGTCATGTGGCAGGTCTATGTTTAGTTTTTAAAGAAGCTTCCATATTGTTTTCCAAAGTGGTTGTACTAGCTTACACTCCCACTAGCAGTGTATGAGGGTTCCTTTTTCCCCACATCCTTGCCAGCATTTGTTATTGGTAGTGTTTTTGATGATAGCTATTCTAACGGGTGAGGTAGAATCGTAGTGTGGCTTTGATTTGCATTTCCTATATGGCCAGAGATGGTGAGCATTTTTTCATGTGTTTTTTGGCCATTTGAATTTCTTCTTTTGTGAAAGTTCTGTTTAGTTCAATTGCCCATTTCTTTATTGGTTCATTGATTTTGGGGGAGTTTAGTTTTTTGAGCTCCCTGTATATTTGGTTATCAGTCCTTTGATGTATAGCTGTCAAGTATTTTCTCCCACTCTGTGGGTGGGCTGTTCAGTTTAGAGACCATTACTTTTGTTGTGCAGAAGCTTTGTAATTTTATGTAGTCCCACTTATCCATCCTTTCTTTTAGTTGCTGGGGTTCTGTTGAGGAAATCCTTGCCTATACCTATTGCTTCCAGAGCGTTCCCTGGTCTTTCCTGTACTAACTTCAGAGTTTTAGGTCTGATATTAAGGTCCTTGATCCATTTTGAGTTGATGCTAGTACAGGGTGATAAACATGGATCTAGTTTCAGTTTTCTACAGGCAGATAGCCACTTTTCCCAGCAACATTTGTTAAAGAGGCTGTCTTTTCTCCATCATATGTTTTTTGTGCCTTTGTCAAAAATAAGGTGGGCATAGCTGTGTGGATTCATATCCGGTCCTTTGTTCTGTTCCACTGGTCTTCATATCTGTTTTTGTGCCAGTACCATGTGTTTTTATTGGTATTGCTTTGTGATATAGTTTGAAGTCAGGTATTGTGATACCTCCAGCATTTCTCTTCACTGAGTATTGCCTTGGCTATTCGCGGACTCTTCTGTTTTCAAATGAACTTTAGGGTAGATTTTTCAATCTGTGTGATGAATGTCATTGGGATTTTGATGGCAATTTCATTAAGCATGTAGATTGCTTTTGGTAGTATAGCCATTTTTACTATGTTGATTCTACCAATACATGAGCACGGAAGATCTTTTACATCTTATGTAGGCTTCCTCGATCTCTTTCTTCAGGGGTTTATAAGTTCTTCTTGTAGAGTCATTCACATCCTGTGTTAAGTTTACACCTAGGTATTTGATTTTTTTGGAGCTATTGTAAATGGAATTGTTTCCATATATTCTTTCTCAATATGTTAATTGTTGGTGTATAGAAAAGCTAATGATTTTTGTAAGTTGATTTTGTATCCTGCCACCTTGCTGAAGCTGTTTATGGTGTCTAGGAATTTTTGGGTAGAGTTTTTGGGTCTTTAAGATATATGATCATGTCATCTGCAAATAGGGATATTTTGACAGTTTCTTTACCTATTTGTATTCCTTTTATTTCTTCTTCTTGCCTAATTGCTCTGGTTAGGAATTGCAGGACTATGTTGAATAGGAATGGGGATAGTGGGCACCCTTGGCTCGTTCCTGATTTTAGAGGAAATGGTTTCAGTTTTTCTCCATTAGGTATGATGTTGGCTATAGGTTTGTCATATATAGTCTTTTCAATGTTGAGGTACATTCCTTCTATTCTTAGTATCCTTAGAGCTCTTATCATGAAGTGGTGTTGGATCTTATCAAATGCTTTTTCTGCATGTATTGAGATGATCAAGTGGTTTTTGTCTTTGCTTCTATTAATGTGCTGTATTACTTTTATAGATTTGCATATGTTGATCACCCCTGCTTCCCTGGGTTGAAGCTGACTTGATCATGGTGAATAATCTTTGTGATATGTTGTTGGATTTGGTTTGCCATTATTTTATTGAGGACTTTTGCATCAATGTTCATGAAGGAGATTGGCCTATAGTTCTCCTTTTTGGAGGTGTCTTTATTTTGTTTTGGGATGAGTGTAATACTGGCTTCATAGAATGAGTTAGGCAGTATTCCTTCCCTTTCTATTTCGTGGAAAAGTTTAAGGAGATTTGAAATTAGTTCTTCTTTAATGGTCTGATAGAATTCAGCAGAGAATCCATCAGGTCCTTGACTTTTCTTTTTTGAAAGGCTCTTTATTACTGCTTTAATTTCATTTTGTGTTATAGATCTAATTCAGGTGGTTAATATACTCTTGGTTCAATTTTGAATGGTTATAAGTATCTAGAAATTTGTCCATTTCTTCAAGATTTTAAAATTTATTGGAATATAGGTTCTCAAAGTAGTCTCTGATGATTCCCTAGATTTCTGTGGTTTCTTGTTATATCACCTTTTGCATTTCTGATTTTACTGATTTGGGTTTTTTCTCTCCTCATTTTAGTCAGAGTTGCCAGGGGTTTGTCAATCTTATTTATTTTTTCAAAGAACCAGCTTTTTGTTTCATTGATTCTTGGTATTTTTTTTTTGTTTCTATTTCATTAATTTCAGCCCTTATTTTTATTATTTGTCTCCTTCTGCTTGTTTTGAGTTTTGCTTGTTCTTCTTTTTCTAGGAGTTTGTGATGTAGCATTAAGTCATTTATTTGAGATCTTTCTATCCTTTTAATATATGCACCCATGGCTATAAACTTTCCTTTTAGGACTGCCTTTGCTATGTCCCATAAGTTCTGGTATGTTGTGTTTTCATTTTCATTAATTTCTAGGAACCTGTTAATTTCTTCTTTTATTTCATCGATGACCCACTGATCATTGAGCAGTGTGCTGTTCAGCTTCCAGTTGTTTGCATGTTTTCTACTATTGTTTTTGTTGTTGAGTTCTAGTTTTAATGCATTGTGATCAGATAAAATGCATGGGATTATTTCTATTTTCTTATATTTTCTAAGGCTTGCTTTGTGCCTTAAGATACCAGTTTTGGAGAAAGTTCCATGGGCTGCTGAGAAGAATTTATATTGTGAGGATATTGAATGAAATATTCTGTAGACATCACTAGGTCCATCTGAGCTATGGTGTGATTTGTTTCTAGAATTTGTTTGTTGAAAATTTGTCTTTTGATGGGGGACTTGAGTTGACTTGAGTTATTTGACTAGTAGCCCTTTAGTTTTTCTTTAATTTCCATTTCATCTTTAAGTTCTGAGATTCTGTTTTCTGCTTGTTCTAGTCTGCTGGAGTGGCTTTCCGCTGTGTTTTGTGTTTCTGTTTCATTTTTTTTTTCTGAGGTTTTCCATATCATGGGTCACTTCCTCTTTAATATTGTGTAGTTTCATCTTTAA